TTCTGGAATGTGTGAAGGCCAGGCTCTGACCTCTCCCCCTACCCCCCACCCCCTGGCAAAAGAAACTACCATTGCAGCAGGATAGATGGAAATTAAAACAATACAAAAAGCTTCTAGCAATGTAAGTGCAAGCTGGGAGACCGGATCCAAAACCTAGAAAGGAAGCAATCTATTTCCCAGAAGCACCTGAGTGCAAAGGAGAGACTCTGAGAACTGGAGAAGGTGAAAGAAGTCTTAGTGGACTGACCTGAGGAGAGAAGCTCCACCCAAAACTATGGATGACGGTGACCCCCCAGGGCTGGCCTAGGGTGTGGCAGAGGGAACAGGTGTGGCCCAGCAGGGTCTGGACCGCAGCCTGGGAAGCTGACTGGCTGCGAATGGAGGGGTTGCAGTCAGACTAGATAGGGTCTGTTCAGCACCCAGGCAGTGCCTCTGTTGTTCTTGGCTCTGCTATTCTGTTCCCAGCTCCAGCTACCAACGCTGTCCTTAGGGCTAGGCTGGGCTGGCTCAACCAGGGAGGGGGGAGGGAAGAGGGAGGAAGGAGGTGGAGATGCACTGGCTGAGGACGTGTCTGGACTGAGGCTCAGTCCCCTGGATGGAGCTGACTATGACCTGGAGCTAAACTCTGGCTTTGTTTCCAGAGCCAGACCCCTCTGCCACTTCCCTTGCACTTTCCCAAACCTGGGGGGAGGGCACTGCTGTAGCCTTGGCAAGTCTGGCTGGGGCTGGTGGTATCTGGGGAAAGTGGCCAGCTCTGGAAGACACCCTGCAGCTCAGTCTCCAGCTCTGCTGCTTCCCTGTGGGCACTGGGGCCACATTCCTGAGGCTACCACCTCTGATTCTCTGAGAGGGGGAGTGGAGAGTGGGGATCAGGGACCCTACCCCTCCAAGCCAAAAATAAGTTCTGCAGTTTCTGGAGGAAGAGATGAGGAACAGGGATGAAGGGTTGGTTGGCACTGAGCCAGATAACCAAACTCTGGGATAGAAGAGGAAAGAAGTCAGAAGTCCCAGAGAAGGGACTAAGGGGGCTTGAGGTTCTGGGTGGGAACCAAAGGGGCTATTGGACTCACTGTCCTTGGAGCTGGCTAGCAGGGCTGATGGGTCAGCCTCTGGAAGGTAAAACAGGGCTTCTTGGGGGCCCCATTCCCTTTTGTCCTAAACCCCCAAATGCAGTTGTTTTCTGTAGACAATGGACCAAGTTTCCTGGGCCCATGGAAACCAGCTGCCCTGGTGGCTCCAAGGATGCTGGAGTTCCCAGTTTCCCAAACCCAAGGCCCTTCCTTCTGCCCTGCCAGATCCGGTGCCTATGTCCTTTCCTTGGGATCAATGGCTGGACCCTACACAGACTGTCAAGATGCAGAGGGGATTTGAGCAGAATTAAGGAGCCGACTCAAATTTCTGGTCCCACTCTTGCTATCTTGAACTGGCAAGGATAAAAAGGGATACAAGAGTTCAGAGTCTGATCTGAACAAGGCTAGGGTCTTGTCCTTCTCATGACCCCCCACTCCTAACCCCTCCTTCTAAAAGAGCTAGAGAAATGGGCAGGCAGGCTGGAGGTTGGGAGAGGCCCCAGACTGACCTAGACCTGATAGCTTTCTCCAGGCAGCACGAACAAAATGGGAAAAAGATGTGTGAGGTGGGAAGCTCTGATTTCCTTTCCCCTGCAGGCATGAGCTCTGGAAAATGTCAGCTGTCAAAGAGGCTGAACAATCTCCCCGCCTCCCTGGCTCTGCTCTCAGCCGCCAGGGCCCCCAGCCTGTCTGGACTGCAAAGGCCACTTCTGAGGATGCACATGGCCCTGATGGAGTCCCCAACCTCCCCCTTCGGGGGATACCTCTATCAATCTGGGCAGAGCCATCTAGGCAGGAGCTTTGGAACTCAGGGATCCGCGGGAACATGTCTGGGGGTAGGGGATCAAAGAAGCCAGCAGTTCCTGATTTCACAGCTGCCAGCCTCCCACATGGTCTCATGCCTCCTAAATCCCAGAGCTCAGAGACAGGGAACGCCAGGCTTTCCTATGATCTGGATTGCTGGTTAGTCTTCCCACTGGCCTAGAGACAGAGCCATCCCGGGGCCTGGACACTCACCAGGCTCAGTGCTCACCAGTGCTGCTCGTGGGACACTGGTAGTCTCTGTGGGCTGAATCTCCTCAGAAACTCCCTCACCTCCAGGGACTACGTTCCAGGAGCATAAGGGAATTGGTTCCAGCTGGGAGGAGGCAGCTTGGAGTGAAGACAGAGTGTATGTGTGCACACAGGCATGTCTGTGTGCCTAGTGTAAGAGCAACTCCCTTTTCCCTGGTCTTTGTCCCCTTTTCTCTTCAGCTCCACCCTCTCATGCAGCAGGAAACCTTCAAACCTTCTCAAGGATTATTCACTCTGCCAACCAGGCCTGGGTCTAGAGCTGCCAGGCTGGATTCTCTGCCTCCTTGGATTCTGGGTGTTGCTCAGTTCCCTCCCAGCTCCCAGGGCAAGGGCAGTCATTTACTTCTTCCTCCTTCGGTTATGATTTAGATCCTTCTTATGGAATCTATCCAAAGAAGCAACCAAGCAGGATTTCAACTAAGCAGGATGGAAGTATGTGCGGTGGCCTTTGGGATGCTACTCTAGCCTAGGGTTGCTGTGTTGCTTGGTGCTCTGACAGATCAGGCCAAGGTCATACACCATCCTGGAAACAGTATTTGCTCTGGACCTGGGCCCTCTAACCATGCAAAAGCTTTCTATGAGCTGTCTTAGGCCTGTGACACCAAAGCTTTGTTCTTAAGCACTTGAGAATGGAATCTGCTTGGGCCTGGAAGAGGATCAAGTTGTGCTGGTTTTTCCACACCAAAATACTCAAAACACCTTCTCCCTCTGCACCATCTCCCACCTCTCCACAAATCCTAAGTATCACATACACTATCTCAAAAGAAAGCCGAGAGCCAGGTGCTGGTGGCTCACACCTGTAATCCTAACTACTCAGGACGCTGAGATGGGAAGATCACAGTTCCAAGCCAGCTCAGGAGCAAGGTGCCAGTGGCTCAAGCCAATAATCCTAGCAATTCAGGAGGCTGAGATCTGAGGAGCGTAGTTCAAAGCCAGCCAGGGCAGCAAAGTCTGTGAGACTCTTAAGTGGAGCTTACCCACCAGAAAACCGGAAGTGGCACTGTGGTTCAAGTGGTAGAGTGCTCACCTAGAGCTGAAGAGCTCAAGGGGCTTGAACTCTGGGCCTGAGCGCAGTCCCTCAGCAATTTTGCTCAAGGCTAGTGCTCTACCTCCTGATTTACAGCGCCTCTTCCAGTTTCTGGTGATTTATTGGATAAGAATTTCACAGACTTTCTTGCCTGGGCTGGCTTTGAACCCTGATCCACAGATCTCAGCCTCCTGAGTAGCTAGAATTACAGGTGTGAGCCACCAGCACCCGGCTTCTGTGAAACTCTTACATCTAATAAACTACCAAAAAAGCCAGAAGTGGAGCTGGGGCTCAAGTGATAGAGCACTACTAACCTTGAGCAAAAAGTTCAGAGACAGCATCTAAGCTCCAAGTTCAAGATCTATGACCAATAACAACAACACAAAAGAAGCTCAGCCAGGCACCGATGGCTAACGCCTGTAATCCTAGCTACTCAGGAGGCTGAGATCTGAGGATCAGGGTTCAAAGCCAGCCCGGGCAGGAAGGCCATGAAACTCTTATCTCCAAAAAGACCACTCAGAAAACCGGAAGTGGCACTGTGGCTCAAGTGGTAGAGCATTGCCTTGAGCTGAAGAGCTGAGGGAGAGCTCCCAGGCCCAGAGTTCAAGCCTCAAGACCGACAAAAAAATAAAATAAAATAAAAAATTCAGAAGCCAGCACTGGTGGCTCATGTCTGTAATCCTAGCTACTCAGGAAGCTGAGATCTGAGGATCACAGGTAAGTCCATGAGACTCTTTTCTCCAATAAACTACTTAGAAAAAGTTGAAGTAGTGCTGTCGCTCTAGTTAGAGGCTTAGGGACAGCATGCAGGCCGTCAGCAGAGAGCTAATGGTGTTTGTAGTAAGGCCATGAGCTACACACACACACACACACACACACACACACACACGAATAAAAAGGACAAAACACACACACACACACACACACAAACACGAATAAAAAGGACAAAACCAGATGGGGTGGGCAAAGAGAAGACGCTGGCTGGGAAGTGGCTCAGTGGCAGAATGCTTGCCTTGCATGCATGAGGCCATGGGTTCAATTCCTCAGCACCACATAAGCAGAAAAAGCCGGAAGTGGCTTGAGCTAAAGAGCTGAGGGACAGCACCCAGGCCCAGAGTTCAGGCACCACAACCGACCAAAAAAAAAGATGCAACAAAAACCCGGTTCTCTACTCATCAGAGCATATGCATTCCCTGAGTTTCCTCTGATAGGTCAGGACCAGCTCTGAGGAGGGCAGGAAGATCAAAGATGTCAGTCTTGGATTAAGCTGTTGTTCATCACAAACCATACCACACCAACGCCCCTCTGTGTATGTCAAGTTAAATCTGTCCCAAGGGCTGGGAAGGTAGTTCAGTGGTAGAGCGCTTGCTTTGTATGCATGAGGCCCTGGGTTCAATTCCTCAGCACCACATAAGCAAAAAGAAAAAAGCTTGAAGTGGTACTGTGGCTCAAGAGGTAGAGCGCTAGCCTTGAGCTGAAGAGCTGAGGGACAGCACCCAGGCCCAGAGTTCAGGCCCCACGACCGGACCCCAAAAATAATAAATAAATAAATAAATAAATAAATCTGTCCCACATCATGTCACTCCTCACTCCACTGACACCACACCCCCACCTATCCTCCACACAGGTTGTCTATTCTCATTCTCGCCTCAAGAGGAGTCTTGCGTCAGTTCCTATCATTCCTCTGCTCAGATCCTGCTGGGCAGGTGGCTCCACCACTTGAGCTATGTCCCAATCTTTTTAGCTCTAGTTATTTTTAAGATCTCTTGCTTCCTCCCCCCCCCCCCACTACCCAGCCTGGCCTTGGGCCACAATCCCTGCAAACTTACCCTAATGCAGAAATATCCATCCTTTTATACTGTTGTCCTGATATCCAAGTCTTGTTTCTGTTTCCTTTGTGATGCTCACCTGCCTTCCCACTTCACTGATTCAGATTTCCATTGTTGCCCATTCCACGGAGCTCTTCTCCAGTGCAGGTTCCATTCGGCTGCCAGCATCATCTTTACAAAACACACATCTGTTCACATCTTTTCCCTGCTTTGAAATCCTTCAATGGCTTTGGATAGTACTTGCCACAGTGCACTGACAGTACTTTCCTGGTTTTCAGGCTGCTGAATCAATTCAGGGGGCAAATGCTATTCCCCTACTGCCTAGCACAATGCCTGGCAGAGTAGGTACTTCAGACAGGCTGACTTGGCAGGTCTAAGTTATAGTACCACCAACTTCAAGCTATTTGATCTGGAAAAGATTTCTTTATTTTTGTGTTGGTGCTGAGGCTTGAACTCTTTCTTGGCTTTTTTGCTCATCTGGCGTTCTACTCACTCTACCACTTAAACTATACTTCTGTTTCTGGCTTTTTCCTTTTCTCTTTTTTTTGCCAGTCCTGGGGCTTGAACTCAGGGCCTGGGCACTATCCCTGAGCTTCTTTTGCTCAAGGCTAGCACTCTACCATTCGAGCCATAGTGCCACTTGCAACTTTTTCTGTTTATGTGGTACTGAGGAATCAAACCTAGGGCTTTATTATTCCAGGCAAGCACTCTATCACTAAGCTACATTCTCAGTCCCATTTCTGGCTTTTTCTTGGTTAATTGGAAATGAGTTTTATAGACTTTATTGCCCATGCTGGCTTTTTTTTTGTTTGTTTGTTTGTGGAGCTTGAACTCTGGGCCTAGGTGCTGTCCCTGAGCTCTTCAGATCAAGGCCAGAACTCTACCACTTGCACAGCACCACTTCTGGTTTTCTTGTGGTTAACTGGACATAAGAGTGTCACAGACTTTCCTGCCCAGGCTGACTTTGAACTATAATCCCCAGATCTCAGCCTCCTAAGTAGCTAGGATTATAGCCATGAACCATGGCACCTGGCCCCATGCTGGTTTTGAATCTGGATCCTCAGATCTGTCTCCAGAGTAGCTAATATTACAAGTGTGAGGCAAGTTTCCAGTGATTCCTTACCTTTTTTCAGCCTCAGTTTCCTTGTTAAAATTGGCTGGGATGTAGCTCAGTGGCAAAGTGCTTGTCTAGCAAGTGCAATGTCCTGGGTTTGATCCCCAGTAGCAAAAAAGACACAAAAAAATACAATTAAAAAAAGCAAACAGGTGCTGGGAAGGTGGCTCAGTGGTAGAGCGCTTGCCTTGCATACCTGAGGCCGTGGGTTTGATTCCTCACCACCACATAAGCAAAATGAAAAAAGCCAGAAGTGGTGCTGTGGCTCAAGTGGTAGAGTGCTAGCCTTGAGCTGAAGAGCTGAGGGACAGTGCCCAGGCCCAGAGTCAGGCCCCACAACCGGACCCCCCCCCCAAAAAAAAGCAAACAACCTGGGTGCCGGTGGCTCACACCTATAATCCTAGCTATTGCAGGAGGCTGAGATCTGAGAATCACGGTTCAAAGCCAGTCAGTACAGGATAGTCCGTGAGACTCTTACTTCCAATTAACCACTAGAAAACTGGAAGTGGAGCTGTGGCTCAAAGTGGTAGAGCACTAGCCTTAAGCCGAGTTCAAGATCTATAACTGACAAAAACAAACAAAAACAAAAACCCCACAAAATTCCACAACAAACAACCCAAACCAAACAAAATCTGTCTCTCAAAAAATGAAATAATGCACCAAAAGGGCTTATCATAGTGGTTGGTACAGAGAAGCACTTATTTAGAGTTGGTGGCTCACCCCTGTAATCCTAGCTATTCAGGAGGCTAAGATCTGAGGATCATGGTTCAAAGCTAGCCTGGGAGAGTTCAAGCTAGAGGACCAGAACAAAAAAGATCAACTTAGAAAATAATCCCAGGATTTGGGCTCTAGAACCATTGAGGTTCTGTGAAGCAATGTGACATACTCATTGTCACCAATTATGTGGCAACATCAAATTGAACAAAAACACTATTAATGCATCAAATGCTATTGCTAAGCTGTTCTGTGGCACAGGGCAAGCAAAAGCGGCTTGTGAACTACAGTAAAATATGGTATGCTTATCTACTGTGGATGTGGGACACTCATAAACACACCTGGCATATTGCATTCACAAGTGTTTGTCTCTCTGAATTTCAGCTTAGGCTAATGTGCCTTAGGGCAAGTACATAATTATAGTACTTTTGATCTTTCTTATTGTCAGTTCTAATCATCTGTTAAACTAGGAATCAAATGATTTTTCCTTGGAACCTTGGCTGTATCAGTGGTTCTTAAGGTTCTTAACACAGAGGGACCAGCAGTGTTGTTCCACCATACTTGATCCCCTTACTGTTTAAGAACTATTTCAGGGGTTGGAGGTGTGGCTTAGTCGGTAAAGTACCAGGCAATGAGTGAAAGTATCAGGTACTGAGGTCATGTCTCAGTTCATGTCCCAGACTTGCACTGAAAACAAAACAAACAAACCCACCGCTTTGTTAAAGAAACTTATAGACTACCAATGTTTCGCTAGATCTGGTTCTCATACTGCATTTCCTTGTCTCACCTGGAGCAGAGGGTCTTTTAGTATTAGAAAATTTATAATGCGGGCTGGAAAGGTGGCTCAGTGGTAGAGCACTTGCCTTGCATGCCTGAGGCCCTGGGTTCGATTCTTCAGCACTACATAAGCAAAAAGAAAAAAGCGGGAAATGGCACTGTGGCTCAAGTGGTAGAGCGCTAGCCTTGAACTGAAGAGCTGAGGGACAGCGCCCAGGCCCAGAGTTCAGGCCTCACGACTGGACCCCTCCCCCCCCAAAAAAAGAAAATTTATAATGCTAGCCAGGTGCTGATAATCCTAGCTACTAGCTGTAATCCTACTCAGGAGGCTGAGATCTGAGGAGAAAAGTTCACAAGACTCCAATATACTACTCAGAAAAAGCTAGAAGTAGTTCTATGGCTCAAGTGGTAAAGCACTAGCAAAGAAGCTTAGGGACAGTGCCCAGGCTGTATGTGCACACACACACACACACACACACACACACACACACGTTATGTATGTATGTATATGTATATATGCACCTCTCTGAAGGAAAGATAATTTCCCAGTTTTCTTCCAGCTTGCTGATCAGTCATTAAGAATTACTTCCGGGGCTGGGAAGGTGGCTCAGTGGTAGAACGCTTGCCTTGCATGCATGAGGTCCTGGGTTCGGTTCCTCAGCACCACATAAGCAAAAAGAAAAAAGCTTGAAGTGGCATTGTGGCTCAAGTGGTAGAGCGCTAACCTTGAGCTGAAGAGCTGAGGGACAGTGCCCAGGCCCAGAGTTCAGGCCCTACAACTGGACCCCCCAAAAAAAAATTACTTCCAAGTGTGTCCCCAGAAAATAGAGCTTGCTGACTGAGCTTCAGACATCAATCAACAGAGGAGCTTGGCCATGATATAGACGAGGCCAGAACCTTGGGTAGTAATTAGAAAGGAAACTAAAGTCAGGGAATCTCCAGGCACCCTTGCAGATAAGCTGCGCTTTTCCCAGAAAGTTTGATGACAGTAGACAGTTAAATATCTACAAGGTCTGGTCTTCTAAGTTGTTGGTGAGCACAAGTTCACTGAACTCTAATAGGAACTGAGAAACTAGGTACCTTTCTAGGCACTGAGGAGTGGATAAGCATAAGAGCCATCTGCGGCTTTGCGTGTGTTTGTGTGTTGGTACTGGGGCTTGAACTTAGGGACTTTGGTTTTGTTTTTTTCACTCAAGGTTGGTGATACCACTGGAGCCCTATCTTCATTTCTGGCTTTTTGCTGGTTAATTGGAGCCAAGAGTCTTTTGGATTTCTTTGCCTGTGCTAGCTTCAAGCTGAGAGCATCATATCTGTCTCCTAAGCATTTAGGATTACAGGTGTGAGCCATGGGCCCTCCTCTGTTTTAACTAGCATGAATCCTAAATATTAAGCTGGATATGCTTACACACACCTGCAATTCCAGCACTTGTGACAATGAGGCAGGAAAATTCAAGACCTACTGTTGTCTCAGCCAGGCACTAATGACTCACACCTGTAATCCTAGCTACTCAGGAGACTGAGATCTGAGGATAGTGGTTCAAAGCCAGCTTGGGCTATAAGGCTTACCACCAATGAACCATTAAAAAAGCTGGACGCAGCTGGGTGCCAGTGGCTCACACCTGTAATCCTAGCTACTCAGGAGGCTGAGATCTGAGAATATCGAGGTTCAAAGCCAGCCCGGGCAGGAAAGGCCATGAGACTCTTATCCCCAATAAACCACTCAGAAAACCGGAAGGGGTGCTATGGCTCAAGTGGTAGAGTGCTAGCTTTGAGCTGAAGAGCTGAGGGACAACGTCCAGGCCCAGAGTTCAAGCACCATGACCAAAAAAAAAAAAAAGCTGGAAGCAGAGCTATGACTCAAGTAGAAAAGCACACACACACACACACACAATCAGACTTGCTTCCACATACGTTTTATATTCTTGGTGTGGCCTTCAAGAGCACCTGGCACCTCTTTGTGAGAAGTTACGGGCATTATATGTGGGGGCTCACAGGACCGAACTTGCTTGGAGCTCTTACAGCTGCCTGTGCAAACGGATCCTACAATGTAGGATGTAAAACCAGACCAAGTGTTGGCTCTACTTGGGCTGCAAGAAATTCTCTCGTGTAAGTGGCTGTAAGGCAGACTGGCCTCTCAAGAGGGCATAAGTCCTGATGTACAGTAGAGTCTGTGGTACCAAGACACTACACATGGGGCTGGGAAGATGGCTCAGTGGTAGAGCGCTTGCCTTGCATGCCTGAGGCCCTGGGTTCGATTCCTCAGTACCACATAAGCAAAAAGAAAAAAGCCGGAAGTGGCGCTGTGGCTCAAGTGGTAGAGCGCTAGCCTTGAGCTGAAGAGCTGAGGGACAGCGCCCAGGCCCAGAGTTCAGGCCCCATGACCGGACCCAAAAAAAAAAAAAAAAAAGACACTACACATGGTAATCCTGAACAGGTTACCCGTGACTCACTTTGCCAAGACAAGGGTGTGTGCCACCAATGAAGAGCTGGCAGCAGTGACCTGCATGGCGTCACCAAGCACCATTCCTCCCCCGCTCTATCCCTCCCCTCATGCCCACTGACTCATTCTACCTCACTGACTCGGTCACACACCCTCTATGTGAGGGTGTTCAAATGGCTTGGGGTGTCATTTCAGGTGTGCTTTTTGACCTGTGAT